GAATAGCATCTGTAAGAAGTACTCCACAGAATGCATCCGTATTATAATACTGGGTGAATTAAGCTAACAAACTATCTTTTGGTGTCATAAGGATCACTGAACTCTTTAGACCGTTTTATGAAACCTAAAAAAGACTTGGCTTAATTAATACACAAGTCGATGTGTAAATGAAAACGTAGTTTAGGATCAACATTTTCTAATTTGTTTGAACCGATAAAGTAGATAGAACGTATTGGTTGTGACCTAAACAAGGAAAATTGCTTGCATTTCTTCAGATTAAGAGGCCTTAAAGCAATACAACTATAGTTATCTATGAATCTTCTATTCAAAGACCTAAAATGGTAAAGACTGGATAAAATGCATTTTAAGCAAATGGTTTGTATCTGCAATACATAGAGTAACAGCTCATGACTGAGACATGTTCATATAAAAACCAAAATTACGGAAATAACAAATAAAAATTTGAAAAATCAAAAAATGTGGTTTCAAAATTCTATTCCATAAACTTCTCTAATAATTTGTATATTGCCTTAGCGGTTTAAATCAGTTAACATTGGTAACTATGTTGTTATGATATCGTACCAACAGAGGTATTTTCACAGGGTTACCATATTTTGACTCTGTCTTTTCCTATCTTTGCCCAATTTATGAAGTGGAACAATGAAACACGATTTTCAGAATCTTGGAAATTAACATATTTTCAAGGAGTAGTTAAATATTTTTGTCAAAGGTAAGTACAGATCTCTAGTACAAGATTTTGAGATATATGTTGGAATACGTCAGGACCATGAGTAGATGAGGAGAGTAATATTCTTAAACCCTTTAAGACTTCGTCTTTAGTTAAAATAATGCAGATGAAGTGATATAATTTAGCGGTAAGCGTTTCGCAAGGACCAATAGGTGTGCCCTGAGTATAAGAAGACTGTACATTTCTGCAAATAAATTACAATTTAAGATTACCTAAAGACTCTTTACTGTCGAGTTTCAAGCTTGAGGGAAATTTCAGAGCTCTCTCTTAGGATTGTGTAATAAATTCTGCCACATTTGAACTAAATTTTTAGTTTTCCGAATTATATCAACACAATGAAGTCTTGGCAATGGTGGTGTTGGACAGAATGTTCCTTAATTGAGTATTAAATTTACTTGGTATAAACAAAGTTCATAAATTTTATCACAAAAAGCGTCGAATATAACTGGGTAAGTGAAGGGTACATAATTTAATTCATTATCACCCGAAACCCATGTTACATTGGGAAGATTAAAATCAGCTATGCAAATCAAAGTCGAGTTACCTGTTAGCAACGAGGACACTTTACCAATAAGATTAGTGTGACTTTGCACAAACGAATCCCCCACCACATTTTGTATTTAATCTCTCCTTTCCAAAAGGTAGATAATTATCCGGAAGTATCTCTCTATCAAGAATGTCTGGTTTGAGCCAAGTTTCAGTAAAAAGAATTATTTTATATTCACAATAGAAACTTTTAAAGAAAACATTAGTCAATTTAGTGTTAAGGCTTCTTGCATTTTGTTATAAGATAGATATGGCATCATTTAGTTTTTTGGTACTGTTGGTATATTCACAGATCTAGGAGTTTTTGAACGTTTTCTGAAAGCAAATTCCTTTCATAAGACACCATCGAGTTACTGACTACTTAATAGTATTTCGTATTTTGTTTAGAAGAAGAAATATCACGTGGTTGAGAGCAATTAAATTTAAATACATTCAAATCGTTATCAGATAGATCGGTTATTTTAGACTTTATGTAGTTACGAATAATATCAGTTGAAGTATTTGGGTGCAGCCTAGATAAAAATACAATTTTTCGAGACGCAACGGCAATTAGTTGATTAGAACGCGATTGATTAAAGTCCTCAAGCAACTGTAGGATTTAATTGTGTATTATTTACTACAATAGTAGTTGGATTAGGAATAACTTTTGCAAATAACGTTGTTGAGTTTATATCAACTTCAGTACGAGAACTAACATTCACTTCTACATTCGAAAAACGATAAAAAAGTATTCACTCATACTTTAAGGTGAGAATACACTCGTCCTTGGAATTTGTCAAAATCCTGTTCACATTAAACATGAAGTCAATTCATCGTCATCGTGTTCTGACAATAATTTTTATATCCTCCACTATACATAGTATGGAGGGTATATTAGGTTCGTCATTCCGCTTGTAACTCATCCAAATAATAATTGTAGACCCAAAAAAGTATATATTGATATATAGAATATTGATATATTCTTGATCAGGGTAAAATTCTAAGACGATTTAGTCTTTTGTCTGCAGGCAGGTCCTCCTCGTACAGCCCTCATACAATGTTACCCCCCGACAATTTTTTCAATGGAATTATCTGAAATTGAACACAAGGAGTACCTTGTGAGCACTTTATCCCCTGAACGAGAATGGTCTATATAGACCCACGATATCGTATAGCCTCCATCTAACGATACCCCCAATATTCGGTATTTTGATGATTTTAGCCACACTTTATAAGGGAATTGTCTGAAAATACACACAAGGAGTTCTTTGTGAGCAATTTATCAACTAGAATAGAATTATCTATATAGGACCACGATATCGTATAGCCCCCATATAACGATACCCCCCCCATATTTGGTAATTTGATGATTTTAGCCACATTTTTCTATGGCATTGTCTGAAATTCTACGCAAGGAGTTCTTTGTGAGTACTTTATACCCTGACAGAGAATTATTTATATAGGTCCACGATATCGTATATCCCCCATACAACGGTACCCCCAGCTGTACCCCCCGATATTCTGTATTTTGATGATTTTGGCCACATTTTTCAATGGAATTGTCTGAAATTCTACGAAAGGAGTTCTTTGTGATTACTTTACTCCCTGAAAGAGAATTGTCTATATAGCTCCACAATATCGTATATCCCCCAATATATCGGCACATTCCGATATTCGGTGTTTTTAAGATCTTAACAGAATGTTGAATGGATTTTATTTTATTTATTTATTTTATTTTTGAAAATTTCTTAATTTGTTCCAAATGGTGGAGGGGTTTCAAAGTTTGGCCCGGCCGAACTTACTGCTTTTTTACTTGTTTAATTGTTTAATTCCATAATGTAATAACTAGATATTAATGCGCTTGAGAAACAAGTTAAAAAGTATCAGTCTGTTTTGCCGACAGATCTATACCCTCAGCCAATGTTCGATTATTTAAATATATTTTGACCATCTATGGAGTGGGTTCGTAACGGACCTAAATAAATACGATATAAATATTGCGACGTGCCATGTTTATTGGTAACTTCCTTCACCTTACATTATATGTGGGATAATTTTTGGAAAATGTTAACATGTGCGTGAGGTACCATATAGCCGACCGAATTAATACATATAAAAATATTGATATGGCCAAAATTATAAGACAATCTAACATTTATATCCAATTTTATGGGAAATCATAATTATATATTCATCTCAGATTCCTGGTTAAGAGAGATATAAAGAATCATGAATTGTTTAGCAAGTTATGACAGTTAAAAATATTGAAACATGTGACCCTTGGTGAGTGAGCTACCAGAAGGGTTTCGCAGATATAAAATATATCTTGTATTAGCAAAAATGTTTGTATGTGTGAACTTTGAAGAGAGTTGGATGCTTATTTCGCTTTCTTTGAGCGATTTGTTTTTCAAAATCTTGAACCCTATATGGGGGAGGTATCAGAAGAAATGGCCCGATCTCTACCATCGTTATAAAAGATCTGGTGTTGATGGAAATATTCAGATGGTCCAAGTCTGAATGGAATCGGATGGTAATTTCGCGTGTTATGGGCTTAATGGATATACAAAATTTCGACCATTTGTGGAGGAGGTTCCTGAAGGAGTGAACCGATATATTCCATCTTAACACCAGAACTTGGGTTAATATAAATGTTGTGATGTGTAAAATTTGTAGACAATCGGACTTTTACATCTAATTGTATAAGAGTTGTGATTATTCAAAATGTTGACTCCTTGTGGGGGAGGTAATTAATGGAGTGGACCGATATTATCCATTTTTGCACCTGACCTAGCACAAGACAGACGGACGGACGGACAACGCTAGATCGACTCTAAATGTCCTCAAACGGATGTGGTCCAAAGAGACCTAGGGTCTAAAACCATTATTTCGACTAGGCACATTTTGACCGTATCAAATGATATATACCCTCTTTAGCTATATGGCTGAAGGTATAAAAAGAGAATACACATCTCACAGTGCACAGTCTTACTAATATTAGAAAAATAACGAGTGGTGTATGCTAAGTACAAGCATTGACTTAATTTTTAACAAATAGAACAAAAAAATTGTCAACCTTGTAGAATCCGTCTACGCCCAAGTTTCTGTACTTCATTATTTGTTAGAACTTACCTAGAATTCGACGAACTCTGTCAAACTTTTCCACCACACAGGTTATGTATATTTCCGAAATACTTCGAGCGTAGAGAATTTCAAAGGTTATGTTGAAAATACAAACGATTAATACAAATCATAAAAACTTTGGTATATTTGAAGCTTTGGACTTGACGTATTGCATCCTTTTGAAGTGCGCATGGCCGAACTCAAGCTGCCTTGTTAAGAAAACCTATTTAATCTATTTATGCTGTATATAAAAAGGAGATTAATAACTTTAAAATAATGGATCAATACAAAAGTAGTCTTGAGAATTATTATATTTCGGTTCGTGAATCATCTCTTAGTCAAAAGAAACTTAAATCGGTTGGAGAATGCAGATAAAGTGTTCCGGATTTCCAAGCCATCAAAGTACGAAAAAATATATCGATTCAATCAAAAATAACGTGAATGCCGAAGATGGACAAGAAATATATATTGAAGTACAGTCGAGGGTATATTAATTGTAATTCCGAAGCTTCCATGTACCTTGTATAACTGTACCAATTTGAGATGAACAAAAAATCATTATCACAACAACAACAACAAAAACACATACATTTTGGACATTCTTCATATTTTCTATTGTTTTCATTTTCTTATGTCTTTTATTTTACGAAATTTTAACACATACATATATACGTTTTCCTCCTTTTTCAGATTCTAGTTTTTGTTTGTTATATAAGAAACTCTTAATTTTCTACTTACTTATTACGGAATAAATAATAATCATGATATTAATTAATACGTACATACATTTAAATATATTTGCACAAATGTTCAAATGATTCCCTTCGTTTTGATTTCAGCGCTAGAGAAGAAGCGACTTGTCACTGAACTACAGTGTGCGATAGTCGTATGGGATAGTCTGTATTTCCCGGCCGGTACTTTTCAATGTGACTATATACAATATATTTTCATCGATGTCGCAAGAATAGCGAGGGGAGCATTATGTATTGCTCTCCCCGCATTTCTCAGCAATGGAAGACAGCAGCAACTCGGAATGGTATGAAGACTAGGCGAGATAGGGAAGTGGGAAATGAAGAATTGCAACTGGGTTTTTGATTTCAAAAAACTGTTTTATTTTATAGTTATTATTATTATTATTATTATTAAGAGCATATGTTTATTCTAAATCAATTATTCAATACAATATTGTGGTGTATACAGGGATAGGGGTAGATGCGATGTCTTCCAGGTTCCTTTGTACATCTAAATATACATTAGCAATTAGATTAATAATTTAAGTAAACACAATTATGAACTAAAAAGGCAAAGAATACTAGTTTACGAAAGGCTTAGTTTAAGTGGGCCACAGGGAAGACGGGGGTACAGGACAGTTCGAAGAAATCAATCATAATTACAAGCAAAATAGGCGTGATTTCATTTGACGGACAATCGAAGGTGCAAATGCGTGTGGTTGATCTCCTCCGGCCGGCCTAATTGACTCCCTTTCCATATCTAATAAACAAGGACATAAACATGTCTGTGTGTACCCTAATAACATACACAGAATGTGATCTCAAACAAAATAGATAAATCAATCAATCAATCAATAAACAACACAAAGTAACGAACTAACAATAATAACGAGAATCACAAAACAAGATCTTGAAAATCAGACATTTACACGTCTGCAGTTTGTTGGGGATGTGAGGAGTTGAGGAAAGTGGAAGGGTAAATGCGAAGCGATCATATAATCTTTCGCACGTGGGGATTAAACGCTAAAAATGTATTGCAATGCCCTTTACCGATGACGGAGTGCAGACAAAGCATTTTCGATTTAAAGTATTTAGATTTGTCTAAGGTTTCATTTAAATTTAAATATGATACAGTTACAATTACTACTTAATTCGAATTCACTGAATTACACTGGGGATATTAGCTAGGTTTCTTTTTTTGTTAGAGAATGAGACTGGGAAGAAGACAAACATTTTAACGCAGCCAATTCTGCATTAGGCGGAAGAGCGCAACAGACATGGAGAGAGACGATGGATGTATTGCTTTGGTATACGTGGAGGCGCTCCGGCGGTGCATTTACACTAGATGTCCTGATGGAGTCGGTGGTGGGTCGAGTGATATATGTACAAACGCGCAGGTAAGATCGTTCTTTTTCAAAGAGACCTCAGGGTTTTGTGGTAATAGACGTATTCACAATATGCGACAATATACTATTATTTACACGGGCTATCCCAACGTTATCTTTAGAAGCCTATCTTTAGAAGATACGTGATAATATTCGGTTCACAGTCGGGAGAGGACGTTGATGGTGATGATGCTGGGCATGCGTCAGTAGATGGTGCGATTGTTCTTGCTGTTGCTGCTGGTGGGGCGGCGGTGGCGGAAGAACTGTATTGGGCGAATTGAAGCAACTGGTAGCGTTGTTCCAGTTTCGATAAAGTCATGCCTCGTGTTTCAGCGATATGGCGTGTTGTGACGATAGACTTGTCGACGCGTTCGAATCGTTGTCGCCTATACTGCTGGGGAGGGACATGGATCCGGGACCTAGACCGAACTGCGGTGGGAAGGAAGCGTGTGTCGGCGGAGATAGTTGCTGAGCATTGGGCAAATGATTTTGCAGTTGCACGGCAGCCGCCGCCTGCGCTGCGGCAACGGCGTTGGCGGCATTGGCCGCGGCAACCTTTCCCTGGTTGACTACACATTTGCGCATATGTTTCTCCAGCGTGGAAGGAACACTGAACGGCATATCACAGAAACGACAGCGATACACATCTTTGCCCATGCGGCCATGAGTTTTCATGTGGCGTGTCAGCTTGGAACTTTGGGCACAGGCATAAGAGCAAAGCTCACACTTGTAAGGCTTCTCGCCGGTGTGACTGCGTCGGTGTACAGTGAGGTTTGAACAGTTCTTGAAGACTTTGCCACAAAATTCGCATGTGTCATTGCGTTGCCGGCTTTCCTTTTTCATTAGGGAATTCTGAGCTAATAAAGAATTAGCGGATCCCAGCCCTAGTGGTTTCAGCTTCAAATTTTCAAACAGCGATTCATTGCGATGAAGCGCCTGCATATTCCACCAGTCATTGCCATCCATTTTTATCCGTTTTGATATTTCAAATGGATTTTGGAAAGGATTGAAGATTGGAACCTGTGACGACTGTGAGTTCCCTTCTTGTTGGGTGGGCTTTTGGAACATATTCTTGGCAAATTCTTCGCGCAAACGCAATGCAGCGGGAAATCCATTAATTTTGTCATTAATTTGGTGCATTGGCGAGCTGGTGGCATTGTTATTGTCAATATCCTTGGAAATGTGCTTATAGTTGCCGGATTCTTGTAGAGCTTGCTTGTATGCCTCCGAATATTGTGCAATGTTTGACAAGCCAAACTTGTCCATTAGTTCGCCAACTAACGATGTGGCACCAGATGCTCCTTTAGGACTTTCACTTTTTAAATCCATTCGGTTGTTGCTGACACTTAGATCTTCAGCTTCATAGTCAATTTCATCCTGCTCCTGGTCATCCAATTCCTCGTCATCCTCTTCCATGGCGTCTTCGTCTAGATTTTCCTCAGGATCCTGGTCGACATCCGAGTCCCCCTCATTTGTGTCTGCCGATTCAGCATTGCTGAGTCCATCCTCCGCCGGACTCCGGTGCACGCGCATGTGCTTCATAAGTTTTTGGATGTGTGAGCACTCGAATTCACATGCAGTGCACTTATATGGCTTCTCGCCAGTGTGTGTACGCTGGTGGATGATTAGGCTGTTTTCGAAACGGAATTTCTTATCACAATACGAACATGTGAATACAGACGCATTGACTGATGATTCTTGACTGGGCTTAGTCGGGGGTGTTGAGGCTGAACGGGGTGTACTATTGATGAGTGCCCCATTTTCTCCAGTTAGTGGTTCACTCTTTTCGGGAGGGGTCAAGGAATGTGGACGAGTATTATTTGTGACCGGAGTGGGAGGAAGTTGATGAGAAGGCGATGGGCTCGCGAAATGCGGCGATTGCTTTTGTCGTGGACTCGGCGAGCTCGAGTTAACAATATTTCCAGCTCCAGGACTCGTTGTTCCTGCAAGCTGACGCAATCGCTGCGAGTAAAAATCCATCTGGGGTTCCATGTTAACTTGATTATTGGGCTGGATGCTTGAGTTCGAACTCTGCTGACCGGGCATGAGGGGAAGGGCCGCCGGAGTCGATGAACCTCGATGACTACTATTGGAGGATGGTGGTCGTGGCTCTACAGCTCCTCCCGAAGGCACAGAATTGTTTGGATTAAACTGTGGCGTTGGGGTATGAGGAGTGGCCAAAGAGTTGGCCGCAGCAACTGCAGCCGCAGCTAAGTTTAGACCGTGGTGGCGGAACTGCTCTGATACTAGTTGTTCCATGCGATAATGATCGGCATGAGGGCGTGAAAAAAGTGGAGTAACTCCAGGAACTACTTGTGCCTGGCCAAGTCCAGGTGGAAGAGGCATTCTCAGCAAGTTGAAAGGATTTGTGGCATGCATGTCAGGTGGTGGCAAAAGTGGATGATGACGCATGCCAGCGGCAGCAGCTGCTGCCAAATTTTGGGCATTTTGCATAGCCGTTAAATTTGATTGGTGTTGATGTTGTTGTTGCTGTTGTTTTTGTTGTTCTGCCACAGCGGCAGCAGCACATACAGCAGCCGCTCTGTGTTGCAATTGCTGATGAATCTGTTGTTGCTGTTGTTGTTGTTGTTGATTGTTGTTGCTGTTACTGACGATGGGTGATACCGTACATGTGGACTCATTCACATTGCTCTTGTTTGAACTATTATTACTTAGGTTGCTCTGCGGTGGCTGAACGCCAGAAGAACCATCGCTGGGAGACTGAACAATATCCCCAAATAGAGGGGTTTCCACGTAAATCTTGACACCATGCGAGTATTGTACATGTTGAATTAAACGCCAGGCTGAACTGTATCTCGTCTTACACGTCGAACATGTGTAATTGCTGGGTTCTGGAAGTAAAACAAGCGAAAGAGTGGAATTAAGAAAAGATTCGAGTGTAAGAAATGATGAAATTGGCTAGAGATTCAAATGTGAGACAAAAAATAAACAACAGGCCATCCTGTCATCCCACAGACCGAACGACTATCTGCATTGTTTTATGTAAATTACTTGCTCAACCTATCCCTAAATTAAGCTCTCTACAATTCTGTGTGCGATTTCATTAATATAATTAATAGTGTGCGAAAACGCAATCCGTTGCTGCACTCACAAAGCTAGCTACACACACGCATAACCACGCGACAATCGATGTTTGCCGCTGCGAAGCGCACCTTTAGCCATGAAGATGCGAATCATTGTCGGATAGCAATCATGCCATATATTGATGCAGCCTGCATTGGTTGCTCTTTCGGCTGTTGTTGAATTGCTGTTCATCTTCGTTGGTCCCTCCCCACCTTAAGTATTTTTATATTGTTATTACATATCTCCGTGTTGTTGCTGTTGTTCATGAGCCGAGCTGAAGTGCAAGCTTTATGAATGAATCCTAGGTGCGGACGGTCGACGCTCCACTCTGTGTGGGCCGCAACAAAGATTCCCAATACCATTTAAAGTCGCCTGAACGTTCAGCCATTGGTGTGTTGTCGTCGACGTTCTCGTCTTCGTTCAGTTCGTCGTCAATTGATGTAAGTACCCCCTCTTGCCGATGTGGCTCCGAATGTGAGAATATCCATGGCGTGGAAGTTCGCCAAAAGAAACGTCACGCAACACACCTTGATTTTTGTGATCTAGACTTGGCAAGACTCATTCAGTACATCCAAGACAATTATCGCGCATATAGATGGAATGGTTTTCAACCCACAGAAAGACATGGAGTTAGAGCAACGCTGTACTACATGGCTATAGTACTTCCCGTATTTCCGTTTTCTCCAAAACGTACTAGCCAATGCTATGCTACAGTAGCCAATTCTAAAATTGTCACCAACAGCCGACCTAACCCGACCCGTCCCTTCCCTTCCGCCTTTGCACTGTCTTTTTTAGAGCTGACAAGAAGGACAGTTTACAAAAATCGAAAACCATAAGATTTTGGCCGTCGCCACGCATACAAATGACCGCCATCGGATACTAAAGCAAACCGAAATAGTGTAAGCGTATCGAATGCTACACAGAAATATTTTAAATAATCAACACTAATACGGCAACAAGCAAGAGCCAAAATGAATACACATCCCTTCAATGTTTGTCCCATGTGTGGCATCCCATGGTTGAGATGTTCCTCATGTATTGTGGTGTCTCCCAAATGTCCGTGCGAGGCATGCATGCGCTGGATAAGACGCTAAGAGCCATATAACTGTCATCAAGGCAAAATCATCACGAGCAACGAAGCAATAACCACGAGGCTGGGTATTTATTCTTCTAATTTGATGGCATCGCCATATGTTGCCCGAAATGAAAAATTGCAAATTTGTTGCCGTTCGATTAAGAAAAAAATTCGGAATTTAAAAAAAAAACGGTAGCAGTTACAAAAAATAAATAAATTTGCCGTGTAACCGACCGCACGTAGAACAAATCAGCTCTTTCACCCAACCACAATACCAACCCCCTGAACAATTTTTTAACCGAAGGGAGGGGGTTGCAATATTACAATTTAAAATATACGTGCCTATAAGCGTTTCCAAAAAACCCCAACATGTTATCTCAAGTCTTACGTGAACAGCTGTGAAAAGATGCAACGGCCACATAACAAAACAGGAAGGAACCCATACATACATATCACCGAAAGCCGGCATTCGCATATCGTATAACCTTAGCAAGGAGTTGAATTAAATGTCTTTCTTTTATTTCTACCTAGTGGCTCGTGGATGCATTGTCTTCCATAAAAAGGATGGCTGCTAGATCACAATTCCTATCGAGAGACCTCTATGACTGACTACACATGCAAATGATGCCGAATTAGAAGTGATCTGGGCAAACAATAACAAAAGACAATACAATTGGAAACAACTTCCTGCTTTGTTGGTGTCCTCTCTACCTGGATAAGTGGTAAGGGTTGAATGGAAATGGCAGAAGGGGTTAAACGGCCAACTAATGGCGTGTGTAGATGTCTCACTTTTACTTTTTTTAATTTTCCACAAAAAAAAAACTGAATTGTATTTACGGCGAAAAGATAAACAACGGAAGATCTCCCTGTTGGTCTCTGCGCAATTTGTCGCATGCTTAGCACGAGCCGATTATTTGCCTGATAACCGCTGCACAGGAAGTTCACTACATGCATACGATATACTGGAAGTAGATGAGCGACATCCTGACGACTTACGGTCTGGTGCATTTACACAGGACTGAGGACATATTATTATGCAAGCAGAAATTATTTTTTGGGGGCTCTCGGTAGGAGGTCAGTCTCAGAGAGATTATTTCCATTCTTTCGTCTATTGCAAAATGTATTTCTAGTATCTGAATGAGACCTCTAACATGTGAACTACTGCTCACATGTACGCTCACATACATATGGAAATGAAGACTTCTAGTTATTTGCCAAAACAATGCTTAAGAAGACGAGACGAGAAAGTTGTGCTGTTTTTGGCAGCTCAAGACGACGCAAGCAAATCAACAGCAACCCTTTCGAAACAACAGCGAGCGTCCAGAGTGGCACTCCCCCATTCCACTTATACGCCTCACAGGGGATAAGTGACCGCATTTGACAAGAAAGCCGTAAACAAAACAATTGGCCGCCCGCTGATATGTTGTCAAAACCCTTCACTTCATGATGTGATAATAATGTCTGTTCACTTTTTCTTTGCTTTGGCTTGTTGTTCACCAGCAGTTTCGTTTGTTCGTTCGTTCGTTCACTCATCCATACATCTACGGTAAGGATTTTGTCTATTTTTTAACATTTCATAATCTAGCAAACATTCGCTTCGCAGAGCCGTCGTTTTCCATTTTTGTGAATAATCCTCTCACTCCAGGCAACAAAGGACATTACAACGAAAACGTGTTACAAACACACACACACACACTTCTGTACAATAAGGGCAAACCAAGACGGTAAATACGTGAACTTGCATAATCAAAGAATTTATACGTGAATGGATATTATTTATCCCTTTAAAGTATCCCAATGTCCCTCCTAATACTGTCAAAGTCGATACCCGCCAGGTTCACTCCTCCTAAAATAATAACATTTCTGAATAGCCAGATATTCTAAACTCATCAGGATTACTCTTTTCACCTGCCGCCCTCCATCTATAGCAGGATTTATTTGTGTTTAGCAGACTACCCCTCCTGTCACCCGGCTATCAGATAAACCCTTTTTGATTATATTTATACCCAGGTCACATATACACACATGTGCGTTTATATTTTCATCAGATCCGATTTTCAGTTTTTTTTTTTGTGAGCTTCACTTTTCAATAAAACAAGCATGACATTCTGCGGATTACGTCCACGACAAAGGTGAGGGACGTTATGAAACAGCAAGGAATTACAATTAGAGATGCCAAATTGACGACCAGTATATGGGTCGGAAAATACATGTTTATACATATAATATATAACATAATTACATCTGAAACCACAATTCATTTAAGCGATCTGATCTTCATCGCATTTAACAGTGACAATTGTCACTTTGCCTGGCTACTTGACATGGAATTGTAATTACGCTGCAGTCATCATTGTTTGATTTCTGAGTAAAACAATGAATGAGGAATGACATCAAATGTCGTCTACTATGGCGGGGGAGGGAGTTTTTTTTCTTTTTTGGCGGAAAGGAGTATTTGAATGAAACATGTGAATGTCTGAAATATATATATATATACATAAATAATCGAGCAAGCATGAAAAGGCAAACATAAACTTGACAACTACACAAGAAGAGCATATAAAAAATTAAGCTATGACTAAAGAAAAGATAATACAAGCAAACAATGGAAACAATGGAAACAAATATCAGCACACATCACAAAAAGGACCCCATGTACTGGACCTTTGGTTTTCTTATCAAACTGAGAGTGATTCAGCTTGAAGAAGTTCTATGAATACCATCATCTGCAGCAGTCCTACCAAACGTCCAAGCAAGAGGCGATTACAACTCACCATAGCCTGAGATCTTCTTTAAGAACTTACTATGGTGTGTGGTTTCATTTAACAGTCAGTCAGCCAGTCAACTCTTAAGTGTCTTCAATTGAAGGTCAGCCAAGCAAGAATGTAATGACAATCTAAGGACTCAAAACAATAGGTCGCACTCTTTCTCTTCTCATTCGCTCCTTTATGTGAGAATTTCATAATACAACCTTTGTTTCTCATCTACACGCGAATGCCGTTGACTCTTGTTGCCGTCCACTTATTTCCTTTATCTGCTTCCCCCTGACTCTACCGTGTCCACTAAACTCTTTCGAACTCATGACGAATCATTTTGCGCAATTTATTTTCCATTATTTAACGTATTCATTTTTGAGAACCTTTTCAAGAATAGTCGGTTACATTGACTGTTTGACGTGACATATTCTAAGTCGAATAGTTGTGTGCGGACCCACTGACGTATGTCGACACAAGATGTAAGCGTGTCTACCTTTTTTAACAAAAAAAATTAAAAGATTTCCATGTTTTTTTTTTCATTTGCCGTTTGACCAAAGTTCTATGACACCCAGTTGTTTGACCAGTCCTCTCTAATGGATTTTTAGTTAACTTAACAATTGTTAACATAGACAAAGGTGTACAATGTCAAAGGTCATTGAGGAGCGTGTCAAAATATTATCAAAATGACCTTTCTACACGAACAGCATCCACGCACGTCAGATCGAGTGGTCACTCCTTGATGTCATGGAATTCTTGTGCCTCCCCTAATATAGATGGTCAGCACAAGGATAGGGTTGAAATTTATTATTTATGTCCGCTTAGATTTGTATTCCGCAAATGTTTTATGTTCATTGTCAAGAATTTCATTTCGATGTGCTTTATTTGCGAATGTTCCACAAAAAATTCGAATGCATGTACAATGAATGAGTGGACGAACGGTTGTGTGGTGAAAGGCATGTTGATGTCAGCTTATCGCTGGGCTTTGTTGCCGGTGACATCAACGATTATGAGGCAATAAGGCAAAGTTCCATTTTCGCTTTGATGTTGTTGATGGACGGACTGTTGTTTATTTTCATGGTTTTTATCAAAAGGATTTTGTTTTGGTCAAAAATTACTTTGTTCTAGGGGAGCTATGATGTGTGATGCAGTTCGAAGTAAAAACATAGCGTCGAATATGATGATGCGTTAGACGCACGAACCGCTCACGGAGACATACAATTCTGAGCTACTATTGCCCTTAAGGCTGTGGACTCCAACCATCGGAACATGTGTCAAAGCGTGGGTAATGGTCATTGTGGAATTTTAATTAAATTACAGTTACAAATAGAAAACCCGGCGCCCTCCTTTCCTCTGCACAATTTCCAATTATACGATGCTTACCTGTTTGCAGCGTATTGGACTCAGCATCGACGAACTCAATTTTGGGTCGTTTGGTCTTGGGCTGGCAATCATCGTCGTTTTCGCGTACATTATCGTTAGTGTTATCATTATTGCTGCTATTGTGACACTCAATTGTTTCTGTATCATTTTCATCACGATCAAGTTCCTGCTTGATGGATGTGGTAATGGTCGGTAGCTCTTCTGTCGCTGAGTTTGAGGTTTTGGTGTCTTCTTGGGTTGCCTCCTTGGGTGTGGTATTGTCATTTTCTGTATAATGGAAGGTAATACATTTAGTAGGATCCTTTTTAGATGTTTTTTTTCTTCTTGCAAAATTACTTACCATCTACAAGTCTTTTGGGTGTACTTGAGGCACCGTCGGCTAACATGTCCGCTGGGCTTGGCGGTGGTGTGTGAATGCGGGATCCTCCCGATGTTTTGCGTGCATTAATAGGAGCTGATACCGAAGGTCTGCGATTAGCAACACCCAACGGCCTGCCATCTTCGGTGTCGGCTCTATCATTCGAAGGACCTAGGGAACGCAACACGAATTAAAAAAAATGCTTCATCAATAGATATTCCAATTTCTTATAACATACCTTGGTTTGAACAGTGGCCATAGTTTTCCTTGTTACATTGTAGAACCTTGTGTTGTATAAATTTGACTATGTCGGAGAGGGCAAAAGCCTTCTGGCAGGCACCACATGTAAGGATATCCTGGGCTGGGGCATCACCTTCGGTGGAATCTGAATCTAAAAAACAAACCAAACAAAGCGTCACCACTCAGTTAGTCGATACTACAATGACAGATATAAATATATTGATATCGCCGACAAAGCAATAGAAACTGTTACGCAGTGACTGTCTGCCATGTAACCCATAATAAATTATTCAATAAATTTATCTTAATACGCTATGGCCTGACCTCTAAATTGCCAATTACCAACGAACGAACGAAATTTCCTCTACATAAAACTGGCATAAACATGTGATATTCGAATTTACTAAATAGTTGTTGGGCGTCTTTCAGTCTCATGCCACAGCAGTGGCGTGCTTCATGGTTAGACTCAATTTATAGCACAGCATTCGCGCTTTATCCTTAAATACACATGCTCCCAGAACCAAGTTGGTGTTTTCGCTTAATGTCTGACAATAAATTTGCAATATGCGTGCAAGTAATTAATTCCCCGCAAATACTTGTATTGATTTGCTTTGCTTGCTGATAATGAGATGCAAACTTGTGACGGAGGAGTGCAGGAGGCCGTAGCAAATAGTTGCTGCACCTCCCTTCGCCCATCGATTTAATCCTCTACCCTGCCCATTAACCCAAGCCAATTTATCCTGTGGAAATTTATTCATAACATTTCCACAAACCCACACACACCACCCAGTCTTATCACCACATCGTCATCATAACATAAAGGCGACAATTGAAGGTGTTTGTTGCCGGTCTAAATAGTAGCAAACAAATATTGGCCAAACTTATAAATTCCAATCAATGTTATTAATGGACAATTTACCCAATATCTAGTGTGATATGCTCGAACAATTCGTCCCTTTTCGTTCATGGCCGTTGCGAAATCCGTTGTTTGTATACTTAGGATAGATGACTAGATGAGTGTGAGTGCAAATGTGGAAAGGGGGTTATCGAAGGGTCTGAATTGCCCTCTTTGTTGGCTTCATGTCCTTTTTCGTGTTCTCTTTGCACTTCGGGGCATGTGTGGGTCCGTATGCGTTAACTTCACATAACTCTATAACAGAATTTCCGCAAAGTTTTATTTCTGCTCTTAAGGCTTTGTTTGATTTTTGGTTTAGTACTTGTGTCCATATAAAGCAGGCCGACCCCAAGGCAAAGACAAAGGGCACTTCGAAGACGACACAACATATGTAAAAGTTTTGTCATTGTGATCCCAAAATTGGCACCATAACTGAGGCCAGAAACATTGGCCACATATTTTTGTCTTTATAAAACAAAAAAAAATCTAAACACACACACACACCCATACAAAAGTTCTGACCAACAAATTTGCCCAGTTCCTTTCCCCTGACAAACAAAACAAGGATAATCACATTAAAGAAGCGTAACAATAATCCAGTTGTCAATTAGGTGCTGTATAACAACAACAACACCACAGGCACTAAAGAATTATAGACTCTGATGATCAATAAAAACGACACAAACGCACAAAAAGACATAGACGATATGCTGCCCAAACATTTGTATGTGTCCGGACATATAGATGAACAAACGGACACATAATTTGATACCCTGAAGCTGTGCGGTCTGTCAGTAGTGGAATTATTGTTTCCTATTGTTTTTTTCCCCGGTCTATTATCTTGTTGTTTTTTATATTTATTATATGTTGGTGTAAATTGTCTTATCCTGGGGGTGACAAGAAGGAAACACAGGGCGCAAAAAACATAGTTGACTTATTAATTCCTGATTGACTGGATGAGCTCTGCAATTCAGTTAGTCCGTGAGACATCGATATGTTCCGCTGATTGCGTTTTTATTAGTTAGGGTTTATTATTCATGTTTTTGGTGATTATTATTTTATTTTTTCCCTAAAAAATACACAGACGCATCATGACAACCTAAATAGCTGGGTATACACCCTCATTTCATTTTCTGTTGCGCGTTCTTGTTTAGACTTTTTTATTATTGATTGGCGTTAAATGGCCAGGGGATATTGCGGTTATCAATTAGGACACAACATATTGATAACTTCTTACAAACGGCCGTCGCCAACAATTGAGGCGGACTAATATACAATACCAATGCCACTTAAAGTGGTATTCTGACCAATGACCGGCTTAGTATGTTATTGTTGTTGCATATGGTCGTGTGG